ACAAAAATTAAATGCTGGGGCTGGGGATTTAGCTCAGCGGCAAAAAGCGCCTGCCTGGCAAGCACAAGGTCGTGAGTTCGGTTCCCGGTACCGGAGAAAAACAAAAAAACAAAAAAAAAAAAAAAAATTAAATGCTAATTTCTCACTTCCCAGATCAAGTTCCTGGTCATTATGACTGGGAAAGTTAGTGATGGCTCTGCTATAAACAGCTAATATTTATGGGTTAACAGGCTAATAGAATAATAGAGATGTTACCATCTTCCAAGGTTATCCTTGACGTCAATATCCAGCCATCAGATGAGGGAAGAATGAAAGGATCAAACACAGGAGGTTTTTGTGGGCCAGGCCTTGAAATTATATAAATGTCCATTGACTAGAAACCAGTCTTGTGGCAACAACTAATTGCAGAGAAGACTGGAAAATATAGTTACATTGTCCACTCAAAAAGAAAAAACAAGTTTGATGATGACCTAGAACTCTAAGTCATAGTCCATCTATTTGGTCAGCAAATAATAATTTCATCCTTCTTCCTAAACACATAATACTCATCCCCTCACAGGTGAGATAAGCTAAAATCTCACCCTGTCACTGCATTAAGCTTAAAGTACAGAATGCCCAGGTAATACACAGGATTCTCCATCAAGTCTAGAGAATCCTATGTAACTCCACATCATGCTGTGGCCAGTGATTCTTAACCAGGGTTGATTCTGTACCCTCCTCTCTCACAAACAGACATTTTTAACTGACACAACTTGGAGTTAGAAAGTACAACTGACAATTAGTGGGTAGAGGTCAAAAAGGCTGCTGAACATTGTACAATACACAGAATACTACACAACAAAAAATTGTCCATTCCAGTGTGAGTAGTACCAGGGGGAAACCTCTACTCTTATAGGAAGGATGATAAGGTATCTTTCCTATTGCATCCAATATATAATGATGGATCAAATGTGTTGCAGAAAATACTTTCAGGTGAGGAAGGGCAGAAAGGAAGACACTGGCCCACTGCAAAGATGAAATTCTGCCAGGACACACTGTGATGGTCCTGAACTCATAGGGGAGAATTTCCTTTACTAGATCCCATTTGCTAACCAATTATTGGTTGGTCACTGACTCTGCTCTCTGGAAGCTTTTCCTCTAAGTCCACATTTGAAGTGGGTGTTGGGGAGCATGACATCCTTGGGGAGAGTACAGCATTTAAAACAAGCTCATGATTCTTTCAGTCAGTGTCTCAAAAACTGAAAACGCGGCTGATGGGTTTGCTTCCTGTCAGTTCTATATGCCAGTAACACTAAAGTCTCCCACAGATAATCCCAGATCCTGATTTTATTCTTTGCAACTTCACTCCCACGCCTCTCTTCATCTCGATATAAGGGGGTTATTTGGAGATCATCAGACTGTAATGTGAAACCACATCCTAAATGTAATCTTTGCTGAATGGCTGAGTTTTAATGGGCCCTTGTTGCTCAAAAGCTTTTCAATCTTATTTTCTATTCTTTGAAGTATAGAGCTGTCAATTTTCCCAGCCCCTTGAGGCTCCAAATTTCTGTACTCTCTATCTTCCTTGTTCATTCATTCTTGAAAACCTGCTAATTATTGCATGAGCTCATGTCATTTTTCTACTATCTTGCCAAAAGCAGCCAGGAAACATTGTCTACTCAAAAAACGTTGTCTACTCAAAATCCTGCTAATGATTTTCCAACCTATTCTAGAACTATGAACTTTGTAGGCATCTTCTTATCCTTCTATATCATTACAGACAATTCTTACCAAATGTCTTGTGCTATGATTTTAAAATGGCTTAACCCCCACAACTTTTATTGAACTCTAATCCCTATTAAGACGCATTAGGAGGTGGGACCTTTAAAAGGTTATTAGAGCTCTGCCCTCTTGAATAATTGATTTATTCATGCAATTACAGTGGACCCTCAGGTTATGACTGGCCTGGTATATGAACTTGGGTTATGACCAGAATTTTTAGTTCTAACTTATGACCAAAGTCTTGAGTTATGACCCAAATGCTGGCCACTTGTACTTCAGATGGTCTCAGATACAGACTTAACCCTTAAAGAGTTCTAGAAGGAACATTACAACATCCTTTCCTTTATGGGGTTAATTGAGAAATCCTGGACCAATGTCTCACTAAGGACTCTGAGATCTGCCTGTGTACAGCAGAGAGACTTTGAAGGCTGTGTAGAGAAGGCTGAGCCTTCCATTGACAACTTGAGCTATAACTAGCCCTGGGGAACAAATTGAGTTTGTAAGTCAAAGGTCCACTGTAATGTATTAATGGGCTTAGAGGCTATCTCAAGAGTGAGTCTGCCATAAAAGTCGGTGTGGCTAGGTCTCTCTCAAATTGTGTGACTCTCCACATGACACCTAGACATTCTGCCAATAAGAAGGCCATCACCCCGTGAAGCACCTCAGTCTTAAACCAGAACCAGGAGCCAAAATAAACCTCTTTTCTTTAGAATATGGTCTGTGGTATTGTGTTATCAGCAACAGAAAATGGACTAAAGCATATTCCCCTGGGCTCCAATTTTCAGTCTCCAGTAACCGTTTCCTTGTTGTCACCTGCTGGCCTGACTAGTTTGAGATCTTTACAATAGCACCCTACCTACTTCTGTAACCATTTAGGGAAATGTTAGCTGTTGCGGCAAAACAAAACAAAACCTCAAAATAGCACAGTAAACGTTCACTTCTTGCTACGTAAGAGTTCAGGATAGGTGCTCCTGGTCAGGCTCCAGGTCAGGATGAGGGGGGATCCTTTGCCATATGGTCACCTAGGGATTCGTGCTTATCAAGGGGCATCATCTTCACTTTGTAACTTCCCATGTTTCTCTTGATATCAAAATCCAGCCAGCATATGCAAGACCTGAAGGAGAACCATGCATGGGAGGTTCCATGGGCCACGCTCTGAATTGATGCTATCATTTCTGTCCATGTTGCACTGACTACTGGGATTTAAGTACAAAAGGAGTGCGCATCTTCCAGGAAATGTCCTTGAGGAAGACATAATAGACAGTATTATAAGAACTGTCAAATTTCTGGCAGCAAGGGATTTTGGCATATGTCTTGCAGTTCCATTATTTCATCTGAGAAGTAAAACACTTAGCATTGGTGCATAAATTCAGATCATTTTAAGCAAGTTTTATTGAATACATACTAATGTTAAGTGTCAGACTAGATACAAAAGATAAAAGGCTGACTAACAAACTATGCTTGCCTTTTAGAAACTTGTGTCATAGGTCTGGGGTAAATACCAAGACCTGCTACTTCAACTGAATTCCACTATCCTATTTAAAGAGGTTGGAAAGCTGAAAATTACCTTTCTCAGATTCCTTTGCCACTCAAGTTCTAAGGACAAATAAGTTCTGCCAAAGAGTTGTATTTATTTTAAACGGGTGCAAGTAAATGGACAAATGTCTTCTTGCATTTGTGACCACCTGCAAGCAAGATATAATGATATGTGTGTGACATCCAGACTCCTTATATTATTTGTTTGTTTTGGTATTGGGAATCAAACTCAGGACCTTGCGCTTGCCAGGCAGGCACTTGTGCCACTGAGCTAAATCTCCAGCCCTCAGACTCCTTATAATCTTCGTGTTATGAGAGCCACTGATGGTGGCAGCAGCTGCAGTACTAGTGCCTACTGTCACCTTCCTATCTCAATTACATTCTGGTCAGAATAAGCTAGCTGTATGCTGTAGTGATAAGTAATCCCCACATTTCAGTGCCCCAATACAATAAAAGTTTCTTATTCTAAAGTGTTTACTGCAGACAGGGGCCATTGTTCCCCTATGTCCTCACTCAGAAATCACAGCTCTTTCTGTTTGTGTGTGTGTGTGTTTTTGGTACCGGGAATCGAACTCTGGACCTTGTGCTTGCCAGGCAGGCACTTATGCCATTGAGCTATATCCCCGGCCCAGAGATGCCTCAATTTTGTGAATACTACATTTTAACCCAAGGTCTCCTCCATGACTATTGTGGCAAGGAAGACCTGCTCAAACGCTTGTCACTGTCACATCTTGCAGTGACCCATTACTTCCCATATAATATTGCCCAGGACTGCATAACTACTACAAGTGGACTGGCAAATGTAAACTTCCATATGCCAGGAAGGAAAGGAGAACCAGTAACATTTATCCCAAATGCTATGACTTGGAATTCAGTATTTTGTGGACTTCTTCTCCTCCATTCCTCTCCTCCACTGAAGTGCTGTGTGAAATTCCCTTGCTTTTGGATTGCTACAGAGCCGGGAATGAATGAGATGTGTGCTAGTAGCTTTCCATCCCTTCACCTCCGTCTATTCTCGTCTTTGGGTGTTTATGAGCCTGTTCTCTAGGAACTCTGTCTTCCAATCTCTGTTGCCCTCTGCTTTGGTGGGATCATGAGAGCACAGGCAGGTCAGAAAATAGAAGGTAAGGGGAATCAGGCTGTTTATTCCTGCTTCTTTCCACCTCCCTAACAACCTGTGGGGCCCTGAACACTGCCTCAGCTCTGTACATACTCCTTTCAGTACCTTTTCCTCACGGGAGCACTTTTGAGTGTGATGTGTGTTTCTACCTTGATCCTGACAGATACCAAGTGTCTAATAATCGACTCATGACTCTTAAAAAAAAAGAGTACCAGACTATCACCCCTCTTTCAGTTTTACAATAGATGAAGATGTTTATAAAATGCAAATCTGAATATATGATTCTGTCTTAAAACTTCAGTGGCTTCCAACTATACCCCGGTCATCACACCCCACTTTAAATTGCAGCCAGACAAAACTAATTTCAGTTCCCTCTGCCACATAGTCTCTCTCTTCCTCTAAGCTTCCGCACGCACAGAACAGAAAAACTGCTGTCCGCCCCCATTTTTATCACTCAGGCCTCAGCTCAAATGTCACTTACCCAGAAAGCCTTTCATAAATCTACTCAACCTGGATAGATGGTGGTATATTTTCTCACAGCAGTCTCTATTCACTATCATCTATAGATAGCACTCAATTTTACATGGTACTGCAACGGCCTGCGTACTTAACTGTGTCCTCCAGTGGACTGTAAGATCTGGGGCAGGGACAGCAGCTCAGATCCATAAGAACTATTAAGGTGCTTACACAGAACAGGCACTCAATAAATATTGGATATTCCCTGAAGATCACTGAAAAATCTTAAACATTATATTTCCTCCTCCAGCTACAGTCTTCTCTACTGACAAAAATTAAGGAAAGTACTTTTTAGCCAACCACCACTCATTATTACTACCTTCCATTCACTACCTAGACCATTTTAATCTTACCTTGCCACCATCACTTAGGAAGATTTCTCTTACCAAGACCACCAGTGACCTAGATCATCATTTCCTTAGCTGGGAAGGCCCAACGGTGAGGGGTGGAAGCTAGGAAGTCTGTGCCAGTGGGATGAAGGATCTGTACCAGCAGGCTGAGGGATCTGCACTGGAGCCAGAAAGCAATGTGCAAAGTAAGAACCAGAGCTCCCCTGAAAAGTACCACAGCCATCCTCAGCAACAGTGAGGTCCCGAGCTCCTCTGATAGTGAATACAGCTGACCTGCCATCAAGAAAGCCAACACAGCAAGCCTCTCCAGGAGACTGGCAGGGCACCATCTTCCCCTCCAGAGGCAGGAAGCGATGCTCAAAGTGAGGACCAGAGGACCAAAGTGAACAGAAGCTATTCTCAGTGCCAGCAAGGTCCCAAGCTCCTCATAGGGTGAAAACAGCCAAGTTCGTCAGGAAAGCCAGCATGACAAGCTTCTCCAACAGAATCAGCAGCTCCTTACAGCTTCTACCAGCTGCCAACAGGCTCTCTCTGCTCCCAACAGCCTCCTCCTTCTTCTCCAGGTCTGCCTCTTATGCTGCTGGCAACAGTCCTCAGGTGGGCCTCCCATACCCAGCACCAGGCTTACTCAGTTCAGCTGGGGGTTATAAATTGACCTTCAGCTGGCAATCCACTACACTGTCCTTCTGGATCTTTATTTCTCCCCTTTCCTTCACCTAGAACACCTAGAACACCTTCACCTAGAACACCTTCTATGTTGTCCCAAATCCTACACATTCTTAGCAATTCAGAAAACTGTTTCATTTTAACTCACTGCTTACTCTTCTGAGTTCTGCCTAGCTTGATGCTAGAGATACTTGTTTTTTGTTATCACAGAGCTAAACATATGTCCACTAGATGGTAAAATTCTTAAGGGCAGTTATTGTTTGTTATCACTGGTTCTACTCTAGCCAGTGACCAACATTTTAGGCAGTTAATATACATTTTTATACGAATGAATGAGAATCTTTTCAGTTATGTCTTTTCAAAGATTAGCGCAAGAGACTCCTTGAAGTAAAAAGACCAGACTTTAGTTTGAAAAGACAAACGTAGCTGGGTGTGTGCTGCAAGCCTGTATGTAGTCCCAGCTACTTGGGAGGCCAAGGCTGAGGCCAGAGAATCACCAGCGTGAGGCCAACCCGGACAATTTAATAAGATTTTGTCTCAAAGCAACAGGGGAGGGCGGACCCCCGGGGTGCAGCGCTTCAAGCACATGCGGGAGGCCCTGGGTTTAATCCCCAGCACTGCAAAGCAAACAAACAAAACACGCACATTATGTAACTAAGTCATGCACACTTAACAGTAGATAGGGCATCTGCCTACAGAAGGCAAATAATTGCTATTCACCGAGGGAGATTTTTTTAAAGCCTGCCCTGCAGAATTTGATTTTAAGCATTTCAGTCCAATACAGACAGATTATTACGAGGGAAGATATTATTTTTAATTTCCTCTGTGCGCTATTATCTTTCCGCCTGGGTGACAAAGATTAGACACAGCATCCACGCGAGAAGACGCCTGACGGTGCCTCGCGTGGGCACTCGGTAGGCCCTCAGCACTTTAATCCCTTTCCGCTTTCCTGTCTTATCTTCGTTTTACGTTTGCAGTCTCGTGAATTTAGAGCCCTTAAAGGAAATTTTAGTTTTTGGATCTCAGTTTGACCCAAAGAACACAGTAGATTCTGTTTGCCCTTTTTAACCCTTGACTCTTAAACCTCAGGGAAAGAAATCACTGAAAAGGAGAGAAAAGAGGCGGTGCAAAAAAAGAAAAAAGAAAAAACAAAACTGAAAGGAAAGGGGCAGAGGAAGCTGCAGAAGGAAGCTTTTCTGGCCCGCTTTGTCTTTTTTTAACCCCAAGGCGTGACTCGCCGCTAACTGCCGGGCGCGCAGGTTTCCCGGAGAGGCGCCCGCCCGCCCCGCATTTCCCCGCCCTCCCGCGACTCCCGCTTCCGCCCCGCGGGGCGCTGCCGGCTG